AACTGTTCTGCCACCAGAACTTTTCCCACACCTCAGTTTTTCTCAGGGGCTCTGCTCCCATCCCCGGCCACATGAGGTTTATTGCAGTTGTTGTTTGCTGCTAGGAGGGAGTACACAGCACGAGTAGAAATCTGAAAGCAGCGTGTTCCCCGTTGCCTTGCAGCCTGGAGAACAGCCCCAGCCTTCTCTGTGCAGATGCACTGTGAGATCTGCACTTGCAGGAAACATTTAGTTTGTCATGTGCGTGCTGATGCAACTGCAGGGCTGTCTGATTTGTCTTGGAGAAAGCAGTTGTTTCTTGTCACTGAGGTGACAAGAGGCTTTTCTTGGATATTGTTGGTCTTAGTCTGTTTAATCTGGACAACTAATGAACAAGCAAATATTGGTAGTCAGCCATTAAAAGGAAGTGTCACATAGTCTCTGTAATCTTTCTGAAAAAGCTTGAAAAACATATTGCTGCTTTTGTTTATTCTTTCTTAGTACTTTTAGTTGAAAAGAAAATAATTCAAACTGACAAAAAATAATAATCAGGTGATTGGAAAAAGCATAGGTAAAAACTTGCTTCAGAAATAACCTTCAGAGCTTTTTTTTCATTACCTGATGCATTATACCTCTGCTATATTTCTGAGCACTATCAATTTCATTTCCTCTGAATAAAAATTCATCTTGGATTCATATTTTGGTCAAATAAAAGTTGCTGCTTTTGTAGACTGCAGTTATTTCGGTTGTATTGACTAGACAGCACTCCTAAACATCAGAATGCCTGCTTTGAACGGCCATGATTTACATGTTTTCTCTGATGACCTGTTTTATTTTCTGTGTTACATTTCTCACTAACAATTGCCTTCAAAATTCAGGTGAAGAATTTTCTTTTGTTTTGCACAACAGGGCTGATGGAGTGATGAGAACAATGAGCACAGAGAAACTCCTAAAAACTGTACCGATTATACAGAATCAAATGGATGCACTTCTTGACTTCAATGTAAGTTTAGCATGGACATGTCTAACATACTATTGACTTGTTCTATGAACTTGCACAAGCTGGAGAGGTCGTGGTGGACTGCAGGCTGGCAAATGTGACGCCCATCTACAAGAAGGGCTGGAAGGAGAATCTGGGAAAATACAGGCCTGTCAGTCTGACCTTGGTGCTGGGGGAGGTCATGGAGCAGATCATTTTGGGTGCTATCACATGGCATTTGCAGGACAACCAGGTGACCAGTTCCAGTCAGCGTGGGTTGATGAAAGGCAGGTCCTGCTTGACCAACCTGATCTTCTATGGTAAGGTGACCCAACTAGTGGATGAGGAAAAGGCTGTGGATGTTGTCTACCTGGACTGTAGTAAAGCCTTTGTTGCCGTTTCCCACAGCATTCTCCTGCAGAAACCTGCTGCTTGTGGCTGGGGAAAAGGCTGTGGATGTTGTCTACCTGGACTGTAGTAAAGCCTTTGTTGCCGTTTCCCACAGCATTCTCCTGCAGAAACC